CAGGTTTGTATAATTCCTCATTGAGTCTAATGCAAGGCTCTGCAGCTGGGAGGTCATCAGCGTAGCTGCACAGTTGAAGAAAGACAACAGCTTGGATGTTTTGTCAGAGGTAGGCACAAGTTTAACTCTGGATCCCTGCTGGTAAATGTTTTGCACCTCAGGAATCCACCTTGTACAGAAAACAGCAAAAATCACTTTTATTATATGCAAGCAATGAGTTAGTAATACTCAATACCAGCACAACTACATGTCACACAGTCATATAATACAAACAAAATAACCACAATAAAGTTGAAAAAACCTTACTTCTAAAACTTAAAAATTCTATGGTTGTTCAGAGGGGCAATGTTATTGCTGCAGGGGTTAGGGTTAACAACTTATAATGTAGCAACGCTAATCACATACTGCATGTTAATGCATCTTTGTGCCTCCTCCTGCTGGACATATGTCATTAAATAAATGGATACATATCTGCACCACCTTACTTTGAGTTCTTTTGTATTTAATGGAGGTCTGTACACAAGATAGTATAACATTTGATTAGTTTAGGTAGACTTTCTTATCACTGCTAGGATATACAACCTCAGGTCTAACTTTCTGGTGAACTGATAAGCAGGGACCTGATATGCACTCATTTATAAGATTCACAAAATAACATCTGGAAGCTGCGGAAGAGCGCATGATGTAAATTTACCATGGCTACCAATGGTGTCAATACTAAATATCTATAATTTACTGATGGCAACTTAAAGAAGCCTTTGCTCACAATAACTTATACCCCTGAGTAATAGAAACAAAATGTTTCAAATTGTGTTTGCTCTGATAGATGAAATTGTTTCTTTGCATTTAAACTACTCCTGTGCTATTGTCAGAGAACTTTATTATATTTCTACATAAAACATTTTAAAGACAATCAATTTCAATTTTAATTATGGAGGGGAATGGATATCTCTGTGTTAAATGAGAATGTGGACTCACTTTCTGAGGAGGATTCCTCTGGCATTATCAACATGTCTGGTGACGATTTGGTGAAACACAGAGAGCTCCATGGACTCTTCTCTCCTGCGGAACTCCTCTATGTCTATCAGACGGACATTTCTGCAAGTAGGTCATCCAAGAGGGCAAGATGATTTTAAAATGATGGCAATGTTTCAGTCATTTCAGACTACTAAAAACCAAAATGTAAAATTACTTTTCCTCTATATTAATACACTGCATCGCATCAGAGTCAATTTACTTGTATGACTTATGCCAAAGGTCCTGCACTTGCAGCATAAGGGGGTTGATGGTGTGAAGCTGATCTCTCATCTTCTTTCGTGCATGGAAAAAAGCTTTGTTCCATGGTTTGGGGAACACTTCCAATCTGTTAATGATAACATTGGAGAAAGGCTTTTTTTAACTTTAGTAAAATGCATCATATGATCCGTCATTCTACAGGCTTCCAAACAAGGGGTGCCTGTATCACCTGGTATTGAAAGTTAGGCTAAACAGCATGCTTAGGAAGATGCACTGTATACTTACTCAAGTCTTTGAGGGGACAGATCCTTTACTTTGCCCTCACAACTTTCTCTTGGATCTCTGAATGTATATTTCACTGCAGTCGCAAAAGAAAAGTATATTTCAACCATTGATATCTTGCAACATTCTTATGAATTGCAAATAATCCAGGCACCAAAGATTTCTGAGTGAGTTGGGTAAATACCTATTGCCTTCTTGACATTAAATAAGTAGTCCTCCTTGATCTCATTCACCAGCTCTTTCTGGGACTGGATCTGGATCTTCAGGTGACAGGGGATCTTTTCCAGAATATTCTCCAGCCAAAAGTCCTCCAGAGGAGACACATGCTTCAGGTCTATCCCATGCTGAATGTAGTAATCAAATTTCTGACAGGAAAAAATATTGTCATCCATTTTCAGCAACAGTGCTGATTTGAAAAAATTGTTTTTTGGTGACAGTGCTGATTACTGCTGATGAAAAGATATTTATAACCTAGACTCAATTGAGTTAATCTTGTGGTGGATATGATAAAAAGTGTATAATAATCATAATACCCATTTTGCATTGGCTGATGCAATCTTAATTGTCCATCTTGTGTACCTGAGTGTTCCCTCCCTGATTTATGTGCCAGCTGTACCCAGTGCAAATAAATATGCTCTTAAAAACAGTGTTTAGCCTTATTTATATTCAGCTCCTTCTTAAGTGAAGAACAAAGAAACACATTGTATTAAGCATAGCAACTGCAACTACTGAGACCAACAAAACAGAAAACCATATCAAGTGTCTTGAAAAGAAATACAAACACAAAGAATGGTGAGCACAAAGCTTTCATTATGTACACAACAGAAGAGGACATTTGATCTTGTACAAATATTTCATTAAGTGTGTGCCACATTTCACCATGTCATTTTGTTTAGGTTTGGAAGAGCCACATGGTGGAGCGTCACCATCCTCCACCTCCTCCTGCTGCTGCCGACTGAGAAGAGAAAGATGGTAAAGCAGGTGTTTCAATAAATGTCTCCTTACTGATAAACACAGAATTTTCTATCCTAAGCAGTAAATGTTTGTATTGGCTACGGTTTGCAGAACAAAACACTTTATCAATAAAAACTAAATTCACCATCTCAATTAATTTAAGTGTACAGTTGGTAAGTTATCTCTGCCAAGGAGGTTTTGGACGTTTTCACCTCTGTTTGTTTGTTTGTAAGTAAGATTACGAAAAAACAACTGAATGTATTTCAATGAAACTTGTTGGAAGGAAACAGTATGGGTCAGGGAAGAGCCCATAAAATCTTTGCTTAGTTCTGCATCAGTGGGCGGATCTAGGATTTTTTCACTTTCTCTAACGTTGCGAGAAGGAGCATTATTTTCAGCAACATTTTCACAGGTAATACTGTTTGGATCTTGATAAAAAAAATCTGGCACATTTATGGAACATATATTTATGAGTGTGTGAAATTTGACACTTAATTAGACACTTGTCATGTCCTGTGATGTGAATATGGATGAATACATAGGGAAATGTCATCACAGGCAGTTAAAAAGGCTAGAAAGTCGATAAAGGTTTAACTTACCATGCGAAATTAACAACAAATCTGCGAATATTCTTCTGCTTCTCGCTGAGTATTGTGCTTCTACTGAGGTGGTGTTTGGAGATGGCAGGATGCACTGGCTCTTTGTTCAGGAACAGGTTCGGGCCTCTGCCATAACTTTTAATCGGCCTTATGTCTGTCACTTCACTCTGCACATCTACAGTACAGATATAACAGTTTAAACACAACTTCCATGATACTCACAAGCAGCAGTATCATGGAATAAATAATCATCATTCTGAAGTTTAGGTTGTCACAACAGCAAGTGTTTTATAAAAATGCTACCAACTCAGAATGTGACTCACTTGTCACGGCTTCTTCACTTCCTTGAGGTTTTGGCACAAGTGGAGGAAACAATGTAAATGAAGGTTTGTTTTCCATCCACGGCTGCTTCCTGTGGACCTGCAAAAGGGACTTATTCACTTCAATGGCTCATGTGCAATCCGTTTGACTGTATATATTCTGCTCACATGGTATATACAGTATATTTTGTTTACAATTTCTTTCATATATATTTTACTTTCCCTTGCGTTTATATTATATATATTATATTATTATATATTATTACTTTTACTGATGTCTATTTCATTTTTGAGTTTCCTCTTTGCTCCTGTAAGACCGCAAATTTCCCTGTTGCAGGACTAACAAAGGATTATCTGATCTGATCTGATCTTATCATGGACGTGCACAGCATAGGGCTTAAGTTGCATGCAAAACTGCCCGTTTGCCATCTTAGACTGAGCTGCTCCTCTGGAGAAGAAAAAAAAGTTGTGTTAATTTATGGAATAATTGTAAAAAGGAACTGAAAACTCGTTTGACATTGAATAAGTGAACACGAATGTTTAAGTATAACATCCGGAATGGAAAGATAATGGAACAGGACGTGTAGGTTGTCCTTCAGCTGAAATACGTCTTTTGACTTTCATGTGTACTTGGTTTTTCTTTTTGCTCCAAATGCTGTACTTGTTACTATATTTGTAGCTTGGTTTGACTGACTCGGTTTGAGTGGCGTATGGTAGCCAAAGTGGAAAGCTTGCAGGAGTATATTTAAAATTTTGAAGAAAAAATATCGAGGAGTAGGACTTGATAAGTTCACACTTCAGTCCTAATCCTTTTGGACATAAAATGTGTATCTAAACTGTTACTATTTGTTTATTACTTGTCTAAAATGCCCAAATGAACTGTATTTATTATTGTGCCTGCATACATATGAGTAGCCCCATAGTTCCTTAGGTTTAACCAAATTAAATCCTTTTATCATCCGGTCATAAAAGATTTTAAAAATGGAAAAATCACGTGACACGGTCCAAACTAATGGCCCCTAAACATGTCTGTTCATGTCCCTGTTATTCATGATTATTCACATTCAGCCTAACAACCTTAACAAGGAAGCGTAGAAGACGTCACCCTGTAAGTTCATGTTCTTCTAATGTCACCTCGACATTTTGACTATAACAGGAAACGCTGACTCAGTGTCACGGTCAGTCGGGTTGAAAGCAGGTTTTTGACAGTCAGTTAAAAGTTGTAAGACATTTTGAAACTTCGGTCAGTGTTTATAAAAACGTACCTGTGGTGACTTCTGTGGAGACACTGCTCCACCATCAGCACCGTTGTTTTTCCTCTTCTTGGCTGAACTCATGTCGACTTGAGCTCAGTTATCTGAAGTTAGCATTAGCTCTCTAACGAACACAAGAGGCCGTTGCTAGGGCGGTTGCCAAGGAAGCAGTGGCGAACAGGTGTCGCGCCGAGTTCTGTCCGCCCGCCGAGAAGTGCATGCGCCTCGCGGGAGCGCGCACAGCTACAGAGGAACGACGTTACCGGACGCCATCACCTCTAAAACAATGACCTGCTCAGAAACTGTGTCATCTCAGTTTGTTGGTTTATTCATAAGAAATGCTCTGATGCATATTGTTCATGTCATCAATGGTTTATTACACTGTTGTTCGACTGTTGTTGAGTTTGTTGGCGTTACAATGTGGAAAAATCCCAAACTCAATAAAATAAAGCCTGTTTTCTACCACACTTTGAAATGCTATACGAGACAACACAACCGACTCACATTCAAACAGAAAAAATACAACATTCTTTTGCTTAAATATATTTGTTTGCCATAAAAATGTCAACTTAAAAAACAAGTGCAATCAATTTCAATCAGTGTCAAGGCAAGACAGTGTTATTTATATTTCATACACAGGGTGCTGTACAGGGACATTCAAAACAAGACAGAGATAGGATTAAAAGAAATCTAATTTAAATTTAGAAAACACTAAACAATTATTAAGGGATTAAGAAAGGAGGGGGGAAAAGTTGGACATTAAAGATTTAAAATAAACACAAAAGGATAAATGTGTGTAATAAGTTGGAGTAAAATAATACAAATGAAATAGACAGAAATTTGTAAAATAATAAAATCAAATATAATACAATGATGTATGACCTTAGATTTTGTAAACTGATTTGGTTAAATGCATTTATGAATAATAAAAAAGTTCAATCTGGGTTTAAAAGCTGCAATGGATGCAGCAGTCTTGTAGGGTTGTATTGCACTCACATGTCTGACGAACGACCCCTCCCCCTTAATAAAACATTTTTCGATTATTGCATTACATGACTATCTAAAAGAATATTTCATTTTATATGTAACAGAGCATAGTTTGATTGATTGATTTGACTGCTGTACAAGTTGATCTCACAAAATGCCACGGAAATCTAACCAATAAAATGTCATGTTTCACATTTATGTCAAATATGACCTTATTCCCATTAAGGTGATCAGAAAAAGCTGCTAGTCTTGAAAAGACTATTTTCTTTTCCGGGTTAAAATGGAAATATTTATTGTGTTGTCACTTTGTATTAAAGCGTGTAACTTAATGTTTGTTGACTGTCGTGGACTGCATCAACAAAATCTCGTTTTAAATAAAGACATCACCTTGTTTATTGGGAGAGTAAAAATATTTTCTGATGAATCAACCTTTTTCACAGCAGCCATTTTGACATTAAACAGCAGATTAACACCACAGACACCACAAAAACAAACTTACAGGAAAAAATAGCAGCCTACTTAAACATACATCAGTATTTAACGTGTACTTTGTACTTTGGCCCACATCCCATCCACTCACATAGAGGAGGCAGGACTTATGACGTATCCTGCATCCAACCACCAGGTGGCGATCGAGACAGCTTCACTTTTGGAGAGGATCTTTATATAGTCTATGGTAACCACAGGTGTAACAAATAAATACGTTTCTGTAACCCTAAAAAGAACACATGCTATATTAATGTCATTGGAAACGCCTGTGTTAATTTACTACTTCCTGTCAAGGTCTATTATGTCTTTTAGCATTCTATGAAAAACCAATGCTTGGTAAAAAAAATTCTTAATAAATTCAAATACATTAACACAAAAGCTTGAGCTAATATTATCTAAGAAGAACTGAAACTGTTTATTTCCCAGTAAAAGTAGGTTTGGAGTTTGGAATATTACTACACACAGTATGTTTCCGTGATTATACACATCCATTATCTAAGATGGGTGGGAGTGCTGCATTTGGAGAACCTTCATCTGATCGGTGATAAGGAAGACAGAGGAATAATCTGATAGGTCTGCATTTTGCCTTGTAGAGGCAGAAGCTGCAAAGAGAAGTGTTGTAGTTCCACCCTTTAGCTGGGTCTCTTCAGCCCAGGCAGGGACAGCTCGTACCTGTGGGAGGAGAGAGATGTGAACTATTCATACAATTCATTCAGTTATACATGAACACATACATTTCTTTACCTATTGACCATTTTTTAATAGATTTATTTTGACAACTTTTTGTGCCTTGCAGTAACAGCAATTTGCCAGTAGGAGCAGCTGCAGCCCCCTCAGCGTTGAGTTTAGGAGGGAAGTACTACTCCATATTGTTATGGAGTACTTGAGCTTTTCTGATACCATCTTTCTTATTCAGAAGAAAACTGAATTATTTGCAGCTACTGTTTCATCCAAATCATGTCGACGTAGAAATCAGGGGACTTTACCATTCTGTAGTGCCTTTGATCAGGTCTATTTGGGAAAGATCTATCATCACCTGTGGAAATAAGAAATTGAAAATCAGTCAAATATCCAGACTAGCAAAAGTGTGACAACCAGTCAGGGCACTGTGACATAATGAAACATAATGAAGTGGGAGATTTAGAGGCTGTGCATCTGTCTCATCAGTGACACTGACAATACTATTTTAAATGCCCTTAACTTTGAAATTCTTCTATGAAAACAAGTAGCATTAACTACCATGCCGATGTCCTTTCTCTGCCGTGTGTGGAACATTTTGTGGTTTTTCACAGACACGTCCAACTTCCGCATTTGGGCCGCCTGAAGTGGCACGTCAAATTCAAACCTGCGTAGAGGAAGAGTCAGGTTTAGTCTTCACCTCAGTATGTACGTGAGACTGGCGATTCTGAAAATAAGCTTACTTATCATTGAAGACAGGATTGACCGTCCTCCTCTTGACATGTGTCCTCTTGCGGTGTCTCCAGGTTTGGTCAGGGAGCAAATACAGGCGGACATACGAGTCTGTGCCATTGTCACTGCAGGGGAACAGGTTCCTGGAGGCAACAGAGACACACAATGAGTTACCATAGCTGCCTTAATAGTTTTCAGCAGCTCAGACAAATACATTTTATTTCTCAGCATAAACAATTTCGAAAAATAAATTATGGGCTTAACTACTCTATGAACATTTCATCAAAGGTCATCTTTTCCTATTAATGTATGACATGATTACTGCAGTTAAGTTAAATATTCACACATTTGAACAACAGATGTGAAAAATGATTTTTTTAATTCAGTTTAATTTCGTGAAAAACATTCACTATAAAATCTTAATTGCAGATAAACCAGACAGAATGAACACAAAGATTTCTAACTTCTCTGTTTATAAAAAGCTCTGCACACAACCTCCAGCACACAAACAATAAAAAGTGACACTATTTGGAGAATTGCATAGAATAATTCTGAAGTAGCTTCTGAGCATTACCACAAGTCACTGTAAACAGGCAGGTTTAAAATAGGCTCTGCATTAGTACATTTATAAAATGTGATCCTGGCTGGATTTTTCTGGTGTACCTGCAAGCATTAACCAGGATGATGAGTTTCTTCCTCAGGGAGGCGTAGCGCACAGTCAGGTGGATCTCCCCAAATGAACCCTGATGATTCCTAAGCGCACTGTTTAAAAAAAAAAGAAAAAATTAAATACATTTTATTGCATGTGGAAAGGCGAGAAGTCAGCACGTATGAAAAACATATCGGAACATGCAGAACTAAACACTAAACTTACTCTGGATACGAGGCCCCATCTGAGATGTCAAAACGCGACGAGGAGATCGAGTTCTCTGACAGCAGACTGTGGGAGTCGTACCGGCGCATGTTTGACGTGGTGGGTGTTGACCGCAGTGCTTCGTTGGCCAGGAAGGAGTTGCGGCGGTGAGCCAAATAATCTTCATCAGGGATCACCTGAGAATCAGCTGCTCGATTGGGAGATGAAGATTTGGCGGCAGGATTATTGTTGTTGGAAACCACCGGAGGAGAGGAGGCAGACCCCTCACCCCCTTGACTGGCCTTTGCATTTTGTTGATTGACATGTGGGGGAGGACTGAGGATAATCTTGGGTGGAGGCTTTTCCTCCGTAAGAATCTATTGTGAGATTGAGGAAATGAGTTTAAAATATGAACATAAATTGTTATTATAATTAAATAAAAGATAACAGCTAAATGAAAATGTACCTAAAAACAAAGAGTATATGAGATACATCTTTGTGGTAAAGTTGTGATGTGTGTCAGTTCCTGTATGTACTCACCCTGAGAGTGGCCTTCAGTTTAATCTGGCTGTTTGCTCCAGAGCGCTCCAGCATGAAGCGCTGGTCCAGACTCATGTTGGAGGTGTTGAGGAGGCGACTCAGGGGCAAGTTCAGAACGCCAAGCGGAGTCTTATTCTCAGGCTCTTTCACCTGAATTGCAAAAACACAGAGATAGAAGAATATTTACACAGTGAATCAAATAAAGTTTGTATCATTACCTCCTGAGGATATCTGACTGACTGACTGACAGAGGTCTAGTTTTTACGACAGAGTATTAGAGCCACTTATTAGAGCCATTTTAGAGGGGGGTGCATCAGACGTTCAGCCTGTCGCCTGTGTTAAAGGAGGAACATTTACTGACAAATAAAAGATTGAGATAAAGATTGGTTGCCTCTTATTTGAATGAAGAAATAGGAGGTAGAGGTTGGCGATACTATATCATTGGTTACATCTGTGTTCTATTCAAAGGGGTTTCATAGTTGCTCTCAAAAAATATATTGGTTCAAGATTTTGGATCCAGACAAAAATTAAGACTTTTTTTCTCATGACATGACTTGTTCTCCATGTTATCTCATGAAATTGACCTTTTTCATAATATTATGAGATTTTCTCATTACATTATAACGTTATTCTCATAATTTTACGACTTATACTTGTAATATTATGACTTTTTCTCAATTATGACTTTATTCTCGCAATATTTTCTCCAATATGTTCCCAGCACTCCATTGCATGTTTTATCCTATAGTAGGTTTATGGATTTGCAATTGTTAGTGTAGCTGTCTTTTGTCCATTTTCAAATCACAACTGGATATTGATTCATACAGGGTCCGACCACTGTTCAGATGCATACAGTGCATATAATAACATTCCTGCCAATTCTCTTCAACTATATTTATATTCTACAGTGATGATTACTGTGTAATAACACATGGTGTGAGTTACAATCTTTTCAGGTAGAGCTGAGTTATTTAATACAGCCTTATTTTACAAACCTGCAAAGACAGCTGCTGTGTTTTCACATTATGCACAAAGAAGGTGAAGCCCTCCTCCCACACTGGGTCTTTGGATGCAAACACAACCTGTGGAAACAAAGAGACAATAATGAGTTGTTTTTGTTGCAAGGAAACCAACAACAGCTGCGCTGTGAGACAGTTCTAAACCACAGTTCTGAAGTAAAATTATGAGATCAGTACCTTGCTTTTCTGAACTTCCTCATCAATGGAAAATTGCACAAAGGAGTTGGGATCGGGAGCTCTCCTGGTCAGCTGAAAACAAAGCAAACCAGAAACCAAGGCAGTGATTCATTGATTATTGATTCTATAATTCATTCAGTCTTAATATCAAAAAAACAACACTGTTAAGATGTTTGTCTCAGTTAGCTGACACCTCCCATCTGATGGGAGAACATAGTGTAGCACTCAGTACAGTGCAAACCTCCGCCGAGACCCAACAGTCCCCTTTAATTCAAGTAAGAATGTGAGTAACATTTTGAGATGTTAACTCCTGAATGCTTTCGTTGCAGCATATTGTCCTGCTGTCCTTAAATCCACTCAAAGAAATCTAACAGATTCATTAAAATGATTCTCTACCCAACATACAACTGATTACAAATGTAAATGGGCTGTCTTTATATGCTTTTCAAGTCTTGATGACAACTTAAAGCTCTTTACAGTATAAGTCATTGTCACCCATTAACACACACATTCATACAGTGCTACTATATGCTCGGTGTCTTCTATTGCACAATATCCACGCACTGTTGGCACAGCCGACAGGGCAATTTGGCATTCAGTTTCTGACATGTGGAGTGGATGAGTTGGGGATCGAACCACCGACCTTGTAGTTAGTGGACAACCCACTCCACCTCTGCCCATGTCTGCCCATTATGTAGACTTCCACATTAGGTCTCAAAACTATTTGCATTCAGTGTCCTTTTATAGACTCAATAATGAAAATAATCCCAAAAAGGTTTCAGAAATAATCTGAAAATTTGAAATGATTAATTTGCACAATTAATCTAAATAACTTAAAGTTTAACGTGTGTGAGATCATATATCAGCTGCTGTCAGTGCTTGTTTCCTTGTACGACACAATCCAGCCATTAAAATGCTATTTTTACTCATACACAAGTCCACCGTCAACATTGTTGACTTGTGTTGTGTTGTTGACTCAACAAGCTGCTGTTGGTGCAGTGTGATGTTTGTCAGGCTGGGTAGGTTCTACATTCCACTCCCCAAAATACCACAGACACAGCTCACCATCTGGGACACGAGAAACAGATGTTTGGACTGGCAACAAGAAACCCTTCATTATGTCTGAAGTATCTGCTACTGGTACCACGGGTATGTCTGACCTTCACTTTAACATTCCAGGATAACGAAACCTAAACATGGGGAATTCAGTCTTTTCTGTCTCACTATCTTTCACTTTGAGAATGTATTTTCACACAACGGCCAGAAGGGGGCGTTCAAAGGCTTCTTTTTCTAGGACAAGTTATGAGCTCTGAGATGTTATCGGGATAATTCACTGAAAAATGAAAATTCACTCATCCATTCACCACTATGCCGATGGAGGGCTGGGTGAAGTGTTTGAGTCCACACAACATTTTAGGAGTCTCAGCCAAAGTGACCCCTTCTTCAGACACAATAAAACAACAGAAAAAAACATAACATGCCTTCATACTGCTTGTGGTGTCATCCAAGCACATTCATACTCGACTTGAAACAAGGTCATTTACACCGTGTTTTAAGCCTAAAAGTCCACCGGAAGTGGATAAACTAGCGGCTTTAGGGTCCGTCAATTCACCTCGTAGGAAGATATCATGGTGTAAATGACCTTGTTTCGGGTCGAATATGAATAAGGGGATGGAGTAATGTAGAGTGCATTGATTTTGACGGTTATACAACGCCCCCCCCAAAAAAATAAATCAATAAATAAAAGAAAATGTCTATTCTACCCTCAGGTGAGAGAGGAAATCCAGCCACATGAACACCAGCTGGCAGTAACACACCCACTGAGACTGACAGACGTGCACCAGACAAACAGGAAATACCAGCTCTGAGCCAGGACAAATACAATTGGAGCACCATCAGAAAGTATCTGACTTCACTGAGGCGTTTGTCTTACATCGCGATATAAAAGAACTATCAGATGTAAGGCAGTAAAGTGAAAGACAAGCTACCTTTGAAAACCTATAATGTATTAGGCCATATGCAGCCTGCTATTTACCCCTTATCCAAAGATAGTTTGTTAAATATCAGAGAAAACACTAGTGAAGTCTCCCACACACTATGGTGAATGTCCAGCAATTAAACCTTTGCATGAACAGGTTGTGTTGGGAGAGGGGTTGGGCCTGTGCATACCAAAGATCCCTGGATTAAGCCTCCTCATACTGTATTACCGATCAAGTACAGGCCAGTTACCTGAACTCTTAGTGTATGAATGTATATTTATGTTTTTCTAGCAGAGGACAGAAGAGAAAAACCTAATTTCTGTTTATTCTATTCTCAACAATGAGGACTGAAGGTGGGGGTCCTTAAAGTGTCTGGGGCCCCTAGGTTCAAGCTAAAGCTACTAACAAATACGAGATTGAGGAGGCAGATAAAATGATTATCAGAAGACAGCCTTTAGGTAAGAAAGCTGAATCTAAGCTTGAACAGGTCTTGTCTTACCCGAGCTTCCTTCGCGTGCTTCCCATGTTTCTGATTGTCGGTGAACTCACTGTGGTCTTTCTGTGGACAAACACAAAAACACACCACGATCACCACATTGGTTCATCCATGTTGTATCATCTGTTCTCAGTTAGAAGAAGTCACTTACAGGCAGGTTTGAGGCGTTGTCTAGATACACTGTGAGCATAGCACAAGCAAGGCCATCTTTAGACTGAGAGAGAGTGAAAGCACAAGAGTAATATTTACACAAACAGCTGCTGGTAACTGTTACACACAGGCAGGCAGGAGACTGTCAAGTTGAGTTAAAAGTGTTAACACTTAGATTCAAGCAAAACTGGGACTACAGTACCTCACTCAGCAGGCTGGTGTCAGTGCTGAGCGCCAGCCACTGGAGCTTGAGATGAACTTCTCCATGCTCGACGCCCTCCAGAGGAAACCACTGCAACAGTGAGAGATTCATTCAACAAAGTGACATTGAGGTGACTTTATCTAAAAGCAAACTGGTGAAAATTGTCACAAACACTTTTATACCTCTGAGATTTTCCCATACAGGTAATTTTATTCATGCAAAAATCTAAGGATATTTTGATAAAAACAGTAGGAAACAGTGATATCCTGTGGGGCTGCCAATCATTTTATGAATACCACTTTATTTCCTATACAGTAGAGGGAAACTGTACATATTAGACAACTGTATTAGGTGTAACCACAATATTACATTAAGCTCACCTGATTCATTTCCTTCTCCTTCTTCACTTCTCCAAAATCAAGGTTGTACCTGATGCAGAAAGGACAAAACATTATATCACATGATTTGAACAAACACATTACAGCACTATTGTGCCTTTTCATAGATCAGCACTCAGGTGCACTTTTCACTATTGTGTTTCATCAAAATTGTATTAATTACTGTTTTCTATACCTTAGAAGGGGCCCTTTGTATTTAAATACTTTATATTTACATCGAGGAGGTCTGCTCTATGGAGGCTGCCATATTTTTTTACATTAGTCCAGACCGGAAAAACGTAACACCTTTTGAGTTTTTATGACAACTGAAGGCTTCGACAGGTTTTCTGTCATGTTTGGAAGGGGAGAGTGAGGTGAGGGGTATTCAGCTGCCACATGCAATATCACCACTAGATATCACTAAATTCTACACACTGTACCTTTAATGAAAAAAATATTACAAAGTAATCGAACCAATAATGGTATTTAAACAGATTTGACATTAAAATGCATCCTTTTTACCAAAGGTTTTGAAATTAAGTGTAATGGTGGGATGTGTATGGCAGCAGCATAAGGATCAAATATGCTCAACAAAGAGTGATGAAACAGTGTCAATACTTGTGATTCAAATGAACACTGATCCTACTTTGTGCTGATAGACAGTATCTTACCCTCCGAGGTAATCATCTTTGTCTGTGTCCTCATCAAACAGCTCCAACTCCAGCTCCTGCCCTGGGGCCTCATGGACAACAAACTGCACAGATACAGAAGAGGCAGATTTTTACTGAGAGTCTTTCAGAGGGGACCGTCAATGTAAAAGGGTTCAGCACTTTTAATTGGAAAATTTAAAGAAAACTAAGGGGACAACTTCGGCTTTCAAACAAATATAGTAGCAATTGTCTTTAATTTTGACTAGTAAGTTATTGAACAGTGGAATTCTAAGTAACTATATCACAATAAATGCAGGATTTGAGGATATGAAAAACTATCTTGATCATTTTGCAGAGGGTTTACAAAACAATTAAAATCACATCGTTTAAACAAAGCGGAAACCCAATTATTGGAACCAAAGCAAAAAAAGGAGTCAACATTATTCTAAAAAATGTATTTTCATGTGATGGCTGCAGCATGTTATTGTCACCTCACCTCAAACACTTCGTTCCATGTTGGGTTCAAATTCTCTTTGATGGTCTTGCTTTTGAATTGTCTGTTGCCGACTCTGAGCTTGGCGTAGGGGTCGGATTTGCCTTTAATTAAACCAATCATGTACGTGTCCTTCGGAACCAGGTTTCTGGCCTCCAGCAATTGGACCCTCACCACGCCCTGAGGGGGGAAGCAGGATGAGTCAGAGCATTGTATTAAAAGAAATGATTTGTTTTTCTACCTTTATTTAACAGTGTGGTCTTTCTGTTTAAAGCAAGAGTTATTGATGTAATTCTCATATTTTGTAATGGTTTCACACAAATCCTTGCACTTGCACTCAAAATGCACATTTGTGCTTGGATTCCCTGTGCTCCACCTTTACCTCTTCTTGCATTCACACTGCTTTTGTGTGCATGTGAAACGTCTGCTGTCAGATTTCTCTTCTGCACTTACATTTTTTGTGTAAATCTGTCAAAATCCCCCAACCAATAGAATGACATTTGTAGTGATGACGAATAAAACTGCCCCGCCTAAGTTTTGGTTGCTTTTGCTGTTCTCATAAAATACAGCGGGAACATTAATTTAGTTTTTATAGTTGCTAGCAACAGTGATCCCATTAAGTATAAATCCTTGATTTTACTGCACAGTCTTGACCAGCGATCTACTGGACTCCTGCTCCATAAAGGTGTCATAGTTTAGGACATGGCGGGCAATGAACCCAGTTAAAATAACTACCTGTACGAGAGACTCTCAAAGACATAAAGATAACACATCGACGACGAGGACAGGACAGGACAGGGAGTGAAAACATTATTAAATCTGTCCAGCTCTCAAACTCAAAGACCATACAAAGATAGTAAAAAAACAGAAAAGGCAGCATCGGACTTATATACAAAAAAATCAAATGTTGCAAAGTTTTATAGTGGTTGAGGATATTGATATTTTAGAGTGCTGTAGTGAATGTTCTTTCATGAAATGTAAAGAATGTCTTACATACTCGAGGTAGTGGGAACCTCATCTGGTCCACTTTGACCTGGTCTATGAGAGGAATACACATGCGATTTGGTAGCACCATGAGCGAGGCAATGATGTCCAAGATGGTCTCCTCAGACAATGAACTGGGAGGTGGCAGATGGAACGAGAGAGCTTTACAAAAAGGTAACAAAACTGTAAAATGCTGAAACGACCTTACAAACTGTTTACATCTGGGGGCGTTACTGTGGAAACTAACCTGAAGGCGGGACTGTCCAAGAGGTTGGTCATACCAGTCCAGTTGATTTGTAGCGTCTGAAAAATAGGATTGAAGAGTAACAAACATGAATAATGCACATAGCTCCACGTTTCACAGTAAATTAATGAAAACATCTTTCAACACTCACCGGGCGGCGAATGAAAAAGAAGGTGACTCCTCCCACCAATGGTACCTCACCAATGAGAGGCTCCAGAATGACCCTCAGCATACCCTTGAGCTGGAAAGATTCACAGCAGACATGAACACACACAGCATGCTGAGGGTTTGGCTTGTGCAGAGAACCGAGAAATGATGATGCTCACTTTAAGGCCTTTGAGTCCAGCTGTGACAGGCGGCTTCACCACAGTGTCGATGTCCACATCGCCCTCATAGCTGCCAAGTTAAACATTGCCAGTGAGAAATAAAGAGACTGCCAGGGAAAACAACAAGCAGGTGCCTAATAACTTAAGACTTTATTGTTGGGAAATTTGGCTCGAAAATGACAGCGTCTGCAGTAGGATTGGGTATCTTTTGGGTTTTTTTTAAATACCGGTGCTACTTTTAAAAAGATACCAGTGCTTAAACGGCTCCCCGCTCTTGGCTAAAAGAGCAAAAATGAAACTGAGCTGCTACATTGGTTTTGCTAGCTATCAGCTCAGGAAGTGATGGTAGCTCACTGCCTGCAGAGGTGCACGCTCTGTCCACCAATGTCCCCCACCCCTGTCAGATAGGATGCTGATGGTGACAGAGATTCTTCCTCATGTATAACAAGTTATATGTCAACCACAACAAGTTTTCATTGCGTTCTTGTTGTCAAACAAATGTCGCACTGGGGGGAGAAAATAAATAAGAAGGGCATACTCTTGAATTGGCAACGTGAAAGAACTTCATCGCCATTTTTTGTGGCTTTAGTCATGTTAAACAACTCTGAATATACAAGATCATTTTGGTGTAAAAGAGGTTTTACACACACACTTGTTCGGTGTTTACAGTACAGGAGGATCAAAAAAATTTACGCACGTGAAAAGACAGAAGCAGCTTTGATGTGATACAAAATTTATGTGCCAAACAGACCTTATGTTCATGTCCAGAATCACCTCCCTCTGATCTACTTCATGGGTGTAGGCTTTAATCCCAGTGATCCTGAGAGGCTGGAATTGTGGAAACGTTTCAAACCTTCTTTAATGAGACACTACACCATTAGTTTCCGAGATACAGGAGTGGTAAACAACATGGACATCCTCTCTTTACAAAACACGCATCCAATAAAATATTTGGTTACTATCAAACTCAGCCATGCTCCACTTCAGAAGCTGAAAAATGCCCCTGCATTGGCGGCACATCCGCCGAGTTTGGGAACCACTCATTTGACTGACCATAGATTTAAAATGACAGGAGACAACGTCCACTCACTTTGTGTCCAAAGTGGACTTTAGTGAAAGAGAACATTCTCAGCGCTGGGTTGGAGAGCCTGACAGCCGGCTGGATGTTCTTTTTCAGGAGCTTCTCCATGTACATCCCAAAGAAAGGCCAGGCCTGCTCTAACACCTGGATACATGAGACCAAACAGAGCAAGTGAAAACACCCCCATCAAACAGCAAATAATATAAATTAACTTGATCTAGTAAGAGGAGGTACATAGATGCACCGTCAAAGGTTCTGCAGGTTTTAACAATTTAAATGTATGACTTTTTAACACCAAAATATATGGAAATTTAAGACCTAGGTCAAGTACAGCAGATATGAAGGAACATCTGGGTCCGAGAATCAGTCATACTTCCCTAAAATGGAAAGGTTCGGTGTGTAGAATTCAGTGACATCTATTGGTGAAGTGTCCTGAATACCCCTCACCCTCGGAAAATGAAAGAGAACCTGTGGTAGCCTTCAGTTGTCATAAAAAATAAAAATATGTTTAGTTTGTCCAGTTTGGACTACTGTACAAAACAATGGCGACCTCCGTAGGAAGGACCCGCTCCCGAGGTAAATATAAAGTATTGCAATATAAAGGGCCCTTACGAGGGTAAAGAAAACAACCATTCGTACAATTTAGATGAAACAGACTAGTGAAAACATAACTACAATTATTTAATATATTCGATTTCTGCCAATAGATCCCTTTCACCTAAATCTTACACACTGAACCTTTAGGATAAGGTGACGCAGCTTGGTAGAGCATAACAAATTCAGAGCAGGGACATCTGACAGATGTGTTTTGCTTCGTCCCATGAGAATTTTTTTATTTGAACAGAAGTCAACTATTTTTTTAATACTGCACCTTGTTAACCCAGTCAACTTTCTCAACATCAGGGAAATGGACCTGAAAAACAATATTTGACAGTTAAGTAAGATGCAATGAAACAGTATGAACATGTCGAGTTACATTTATATGATGTTGGCTATTGATTCATTTGTTATTGGATTTGTGAAAATAAAGGAAATTAAAAAAAGGAATTGCCTCTCTATTTATGTTTTGTTATTTATACGTAAGGGGCCAAATTTTCTTCTTCCTGCTCCTCCATGAAATGTGCATTTGTTCCGTTTTGTAAATTTGAAATATACTAAATAACTAATAATCAAACTAAACTTAAACTAAACTAAGTTGGTTGCGAGTCTTGACTCAACTTTCACAGAGCTTGACTGATATTGAGGCACAGTTGGGTGCAGGATGGTGAAGAATAAAATTCATGCTATTGAAATAATGTAATAATAAATAATGTAGTAATAAAAAGTATAAAAAAGGGAAAACAACAACAGAACAAATGTCCACAAAACTTGGTGGAAGATGATACATGGGCCAAAAAAGAACTTATTCTTTTTTCCTTTTTTTTTTACTATCAGTGAGTTCTGTCTAAAATGCTAGAGAGGGAAAACTAAGCCACAATTCAAAGTTCATTTTTCCCCCCCTCAAGACCTACAAATATAAAGCTGCATATATATATATATATATATATATATATATATATATATATATATATATATATATATATATATATGTGTATAACTATGAGGACAGGGCTTAAATATGACAGTTACACAACTATTCCTGGTCTCTCCCTCTCTTCTCTCCCCTTTTTCCTCACAGCCCTCCTTTCTCCCCCATTTTTCTCCGCTCACCCCAACCAGTCGAGGCAGATGGCGCTCCCACACTGAGTCTGATTCAGTTTGAGGTTTCTTCCTGTCAAAGGGATTTTTTTTCTCTCCGCAGTCGCCAAAGGGTTTTCACATGGTTGGAACTGCTGTTTGTTTTTATAATTTTGTATGATCTCAACTTTACTATGTGAGGTGCCTCGAGATTAAGTATGTTGTGATTTGGCACTACACAAATTTAATTGAATCAAATCTTAGTGAAGTGATGAGATGTCACACACAGAGAGCCAGCTGCAGTACACAACGTACCCCCACCGGTAATAATCAGAGCTGATTTCTAAAAAATCCTCCTCCTCTGCCATTAGAAGAACTCTTCCTGGAGTTACTCCCCTCTTGATTCCTGTGAGTCAGTGTTTGTGTGGGTGTGGTGTAATCAAATTTGCTGGCTTTCACTTCCCCATCCCTGAGAATGAGGAGGTTCCGCCCAAGTCTGGCATGTCATGCAAATTCAGTTCATAGTTGTCAAGGTAACTGAGTGTGACATGAGGTTTTTGAACAACTTAGATGCGTGAAGATTATCTCAGTTTGACTGTCACAAAGATACCAGAGAACACAAGAGGAGGAGTTGAATCATTTTCCTGCCTGTGCAGCTGAAGTTCTCACCCGCTTTAACAAACAGTGCAGGCCTGTGATGGATTGTGAGCCAACCAAGGACGTGCATAGACATTTTTGAGGGGGCCACTACTCTACCCTAAAAAAGATCAACCCCCCCCCCACCCCTGAGCTCAACACTGTCATCTATCAAATTGCTAACAAAAATATTCCAACTTGGAAAATACACTCTTAAAAAATACATACAGGTCATTATGGGTTGAACTGTGTACATCATGCAAAGCAAACCTTTCAAATTATATTTTTCAAATTCAGACTTGCGGTCACAACGTAGACACCAGTTCGGACAGGGTCACATGATCAGGGGCGAAGGGCATCGCTTTGGATCATTTTGAAAAACATACTTTATGGCCGGATGATGTTTAATTTGGTCGAACATAGCAACTATTTGGGGGGGGGGGTGGTTGCTGTGCATGGAGGCCACTCACCCATGTTGCCATCTGCAGAGCACTCTGCAGCTCTTTGTTGATCAAGTGGGTCTCGGTTTCCACAAACTCGATGGCGGTTCCGAAGCGCGCGTCCTTCCACTGGCGGTTCTTCTTCCACCAGGTCACCATCACCATGCACAGCAGCACCCAGCTGATGCTAAGGCCCAGGTACCCGGTCATGTACACCGGGTAGAAGACTAACATGGCTCGGCCGAAGTACATGAGCACCTCCATGAGGATGCGGTTGACCGAGGAGGGGCTCAGATTCTCTGCGCTCCCGTGGATCGATAGACTCTTCTCCCCAAGCCTCGCTCCCTGCGCCGGGCCCGGGCCGCCCGCCTGAGTGTTTCCGCCGTCAGATGCCATCGGGTCGGACTCCCGCTGGGGGACTCGGCTCTGGAAGCCCCCTTAAACTAAAGCAGAAAGTTTCAGACGGTCGCTGCCAGGAGACACTGGAGTTTATCTTATTTCAGCCCACCCTCTCTCTGGGTGTGTGCGTGCGTGTCAGGTAAAACGATCCGTGGCTCTCTGAAAACTTCCGTGTTTGCAAACCTCCAAAACACAGGTAGGACACACCTGCGCCCATGGGTGGGAAGACTGCGCAACAGGAATTCCACCTTAAAAATGAATGCAAATAAACGTCTCTACTGAGGACCTGAATAAACACACAGCCTTTACCTGCATTGAGAAAAAGGTTTTGATTTTAATAGGGCATTTTTTTGGAGCCTCAAACAAACAAAATAAGCAAATCAGGATGATTATTAAAACATGATAAGGGATTATCAGGAGATAAGAGCTGTAAGAATGAATGAGTAGATGATGCTGCTGTGTTTCATTGGCCACAAGAGAGCAGCACTGCAACACAAAACAGGACAGAACAGGACGACTTCAGCATCCTGGTGAAAATATAGTCAATTAAGAAAGGAGTTATATAGTTGTATTAGATTATAGTTAATACTGATAATCTGTGAATATCAGAACCTGTTCTTGGCTGTGGAACCCGGTCAGGGGGCAGGTCCAGAATTTTTACATTTCACTGAGAAAGGGCAGAGAATGATTCATGATTCAAGTCAGACATGTTACGTGACTGATTTTTATGAGTGTGTCCAAATGTGGTGCAGATCAAAATAAAAATCTGGATCGAGTGAATTAAAATGGGGTTTCACAAGAGGACTGTAAAATTATATGTACTCTACTGCCACTATGTTGTTGTTATTATTATTATTATTATCATTATCCCTCATCTCCCTCCTCTTCCACGCTCACCCCAACTGGTCGAGGCAGATGGCCGACAACACTGAGTCTGCTTTTAATGAGGGAGTTCTTTCTGTCCACAGTCATTGTGGGAACTGTTGGCTCTCTTTATCATATTGCAATATCTCGACCTTACTATGTAAAGTACCCTATCGATAATCTTTGTTGTAGCTTTGCACTACACAAATAAAATTGAATTGAATGAAATATTAATATCTAGTGTAACTGAAACTGTGCTCAAAAAGATGCTTTTACTCAAGATTCGCTGTCTCCTGTGATTTCATTTAAACGTCCACATAAACTCCACTGCATTCCTTACATATGCAAGATTTCACCTATCCTTTTCCTTCTGTTTATCTTGGCAACAGGAGGGAAGACTGTATATGCACACTTGGAGTATGTCCTGCAGATGGAGCCAGAGATTTGACCAATGCTGACAACACGTCCATGGAATCCTGGTTGTCTCTCTCCATGATGTGATTTGGTAGTGAAAATACTTGTGCAAACCAGTTATGAATATATGACACTGTACTTTCAACATGCAGTAATACATTTGCAGAGAAAGCTGAGGAGACCAAACTTTAATATCGTATTGTAACAATCATATATTTATTGTACTGTTATAAATTCTAATAATTCAATCTACAAATGTAAATGTGATGAATCTCAAAAACTTGTAAAATCAAAGTTTTATAAAAAAGTTTATTAAAATGGTTGTGTATGAATTCACAGAATCAATTTCACTTTTATTGAAAAGATTTGTGAGGAAAACAACACCCCAGAAGCAAACTTAGTGCTGCAATTGTTTCTTATTTGAGATTGTATATAAGTCCATGTGGAAAGGAGGGGTTTGACATATTCTGCCTGGTAATACTACCATGCAATGTTAATTTGAATATTTAAATGGGTATTTGTTTGAATACTACCATTTCGTATTTGTGGTGCTTTAATAGACAAAAATTGACCCAACTGTGAAGGTTAACTTCCGTTCTAACCGTTCACCCTGTTTATTGGAACAGCAGTTAACTTCGATATTACTCTCAATACCAAAAGTGATTGCTAATCTGAATTACAAAATCTGTTTGTATCACATGATATCCTGCAGGAGAGCAGGTCCATCATTCTCTACACTCAATTATCAGTTTGATTTTACAAAGTGTAACAGGCAAAAACAAAAATATGTGAGCAATCATTCACTTTTCAAGGCACTATGTGGCTCTGATTCCTGACTCTATTAATTAATAACTAAATAACTTCTTTAACCAAATCCCTAAAGCAGTTGGGAAAAAATTACTATTATATAGCTGATGTTAGACTCATTTCATTTTTTAACTCAATACAAAATGTTGAAGCATACGGTCTTTGTTATGTCAGAACATAGTTTTGTTACTGGAATGTGATCAAATACTCAGGATAAGCCTGAGTGTCATGGAAGATGATGAACATGCTTGGATTATTCACGTTGTCCACGACACTGTCGTACTTCTGAAAGGATGTGTTGCCCTTGGCTGGTGGTACGATCATGTKTTGTTGTCCAAGCGTGTAATCCCCGGTCAGCACTTGACAGAGGTACATGCATTTTTCCCCTTTTGGATTCGGCTTGGAGTATGTATCCTGGGCAGAGTAGCTGGCGTTGACAGCGAAGTATGTGCCGTTGCCAAAACAGGCAGCTGAAAATGAAACAGCAGCAAAAAGGCTTTGTTTTAGTTTGTGAGCATTTATCTGCCATTTGCTGAAGTTAATATGAAGAAATAACTGAAAAACAACCAGTGTTCGGAACATCCATTCAAGATTTATAAATGTTAATAATGTTTCATTTTCAGTTTAGCAATAAAGGTAAAGGAAGTGTCAGGTGAAACATTGTCCCATATTTTCCTCAAAAATTTCTCACCATTCTTTCCTGCGTAAGCCCTGTTGAAGCCATGTTCATTAATCGTGTTCACTATGGCTTCGATGGTGCCGTGGAACAGACGCCTCTCGTTGTTTGAATGACCGTTTCGCTGCTCAATGTCCCGCTTCTTGATCTGTAGGCTCTTCCACAACATAGGGTTCTGGATCCTCTCAATCTGAACAGGAGGGAAAAGTAAATTGTCTGAATCTATGAAATGATCCAAAAGCACATTTTAAAAGTCTATTAATAACTATATATTGGACGTTCATTTATAACTGTTGTGTACACACTAAACAGGGTCTGAAAGATGTGTAAGCCACTTCTCAAGCAAACGTTGGGATCTATGAAAACAAACTTGACAGGAGAATGTGTGCACTTGTACACTAACTCTGACCCATGCGTAGGGAAATATTTGGGGGATGGGAAAATGACGATGCAGGTTGTGATTTGAAGCCAGATTATTGATCCACTTCATCATCCACATTAAAACCAACAGTGTTTCTTGTGCGTCACAACTGTTCTATAAGAACCTTCAATTTAAAAAGCAGAAAAGGCAAATTACGAGTTGCAGAACCGAGTCATTAATAGTTTTATATAATATATTTTAACACTGTGCATATATAATCAAGTAAGACTTAAGTTTCACCCAGATAAAACTGCAATTTTCTTTTACTGGAAATCACTTCTTTGCAGTTGCACTCCACTGCCACTGACAAATACAGTTTTTAGGGCAGCAAAGAAGAAGTGATTTTCCAGGAGTGTAATGCAAGATTTGAGTTTGGGGGAGTGGCTTGTGTATCATGATTGTCAATATAATCAAAGAAGTTCTATGACATTCACTCTCTGTATTTGTTTTTCAGTGGGTTTACAATGATAGAGTTTATCACTTCCATACAGGGTTAGTAACATAGAACTGTTAAAAAATTATATGCTGTATGTTGTTATTTTTAAATGCACAGGAGTTAAATCGATATCAGGAAGGAAACCATTGGTATTTGAAACATCTCACAAACAAAACTTTCTGCTCTAGTAACAAAGCAGTGTCACTAAAACATGTTTTAAATACAGTGCACTTTAAATGAGGACTACCTTGATAACAGTTCGGTTGCACGAGGCCTGGAAAAGACTCAGGACTTCAATGTGCTCTGCTGTTCCAGCCTGGATTGGGACAGCCAGACACGAAGTGTTGGGTGGCATAGCATCCCAGTGCACGGGTACTTCATCTAGAGACAAAATACATTTTGGGTATCATGTTTTTGGCTTACAAAGTCTGAGAGAGATGTCAAAAAGAGAAATTGTACTAAAACAGRTGAATCATTTGCAGTAATAAAAGGTTTAAATGTGAATGCACATTATTCTAGCTTCATATTGGAACTTTTACCAGTGCTTTATAATCTTTTTTATACAGAACGCTCTCATCAATCAGTCAAATACCTTTCAGTTTGTCAATTCTCTTTATCTGCAATGTGCATCCCTGTCTGTCGGTGGCCGGTCCATTTGGCATAGTGACAATGTAGTCTTGACCCTGGACGTTGACTTTTACACTTGTCAGATTCTTTTGCAATGCTTGCTCAAGCTGGAAGTTTGTCACTGGATCAAAGCTTTGATAGTACAGCCCTTGCTGATGGTACTGCCAGTCCGCAACTGTGCTTGCCAGCTCCACGCCCTTCTTCAGGTCTTCCTCATCCCTCACTTTTTTCAGCATTCTATGGATCTCTGTGGTGGCTTTGAGTACATCTTGGCTGAATCCCTCAATTGTTAATGAGGCTTGGCCTTGCTTGCTTTCGATCCTGATGCTCACGCCCACGATCTTCTGGATGTCAAAAATGTGCTGGTAGTCAGCAGGGGAAAAGCTGAGGATGGCTGTGTCTAAAATGGCATTTGTGTTTTGATCTTTGGTAATCAGATCATCGATCCACCGCTTGGCTGAGTCCACTTTGGCCTGTGTGTCGCCGCAGATGTGGAAGCAAGCCGGGTCGACTGCCACCACATTGATGACAAAGCCTCCATCTTTCTGACGCTTGCCAGCAGTTCCACTCCCAAAGAACGCTGTAAGAATAAATTTCATGTAATTTATTCGAACATGGGGTTCATATTCAAACTGTAATAACCTGTTGGATTTCAAAATATACAGTCTAGAAGCTCATCAAACTGTGTGAAGTAGTTTGCCTCATGATCCAACAGCGGGTGCTCACAATCAGCTTTTCATTCAAATTTGATATTTAGAAAAAGTAACAGCCCAGTTCTGTACTTACATTTGAGTTTGCKCCACCACCCASTAYCCTTATCATTGGGTTTACTGKCAGCGCTTTGTCCTCTGTGTTGCATACTGCTGTGGAAGTCTTTCAGCATCGGTGGTTGGAAAATAACTATCCGAATTGTCTTCAGGGAGCCATGAGTGGATTGGCTCAACACATCGATCACTGCATCTAACATGGCATCTGCCACTTGTCTTGCCTGCACTTTGCCTTGACCTGAGATGGTAGAGCATAATCAAAGTTGACAGCAGCACAAGGCAGTGCAGGTATCGTCACTTGTAAAAACACACATTGAAAAACCACAACTGTTCATTCTCTCTGAATCAATAGAATTCATGTATAAACACAAACATTCAATGAAATCATCTCTAAGTTGGTTTCAAACCCTAAAATTGCAATAAACACTGTATGATTTTTAAGTTTAGATAGGCTTGGGGACTTTCCATACAATATACTCCAGACTCACCAGTGCCAATGGCAGGAAATGAGACAGAGGCATAGCCATTTTTCACACACAACTGAAGTGCATCTTTCACAACCGCTCTGATTTTTACTGGGTCGCTCYGTCCGATCACGTGGAGGATCTTCTTACACCTTAGGTTACCTGGATTGGTCATTATCATGCCYRGGTTGAGCTGGGCACCTGAGGGTGAAGACAATGGATTTGAAGGACTTTGGACCACGACAATCATCTGTGTGCATTATGTGTTTGCATTCAGGCCACATTTCTTTTCATACAAATCTTGTGCTATGATGTGGAACAGAACAGGGTTAAAAGTCAACATGACACTTTACCTCTAGATGTCACTAAATTCTACACACTGAACCTTTAAATACATAATTATTTCATTATAATCTAGAGCACTTTAAGTATTGTTTCATTTATTGTGATAGTTATCACAGCTAGAAAATTGTTTAACTGTGGCAAGTCAGGGTTACAGTGTCATAACAGTTTTTAGTAAATGTTTCATTACCAAGGGCTTGGCACTCTGCTTCAACAGCCTGACCAGCTGCCTCTAGAATAGCCTTGGATACACCTAGAGGTGGAAAAGACATAAACTAATATGTTAGCGTGTATGGATAAAACCTCAWTTGTTCTGCATAGCTGAAATATTCCTCTTCTTGTGGTCATTTACCTGAMTKAAGAGAAAAGTTTTCATTGGAGGAGTTGACAATGATTTCACTGGTCTCCTTGGTTATGTCTCCTGTGACCAMMTGTATGGTGACGCTTCCCATTTTGGTCTCATGCATTCCAGTGCTCGAGACAACATTTGAGAAGGGACCTTGTTGCAGTGGAAAGAAGAAAAAAAAAAGCAAATCAACCAATTAATCAATAAAAATACATTTGATAATTACTGAGCCATTCAGATCATTTTAAATATACAATCCACAGCTTTATACATTTTTAGGTTTACTTGCTTTATACAAAATAAATATGTTTTGTTGATGTTTTTGTTAACTTGATCCTTTMTTACATTTATAAAAGCATTGCACATTAACTGCACATAAAATGWTGAATAGATGTTTGCCTACCAGTGTTTTGTGGGGAACCTGTGGATGCTGGACCACGTGAGGCACTGGGGAACTCCTTATCAAATTCATCTCCAAAGGCCTGTAGAGAGAATCAGACCAATATCTTCCACCAAAGAACTCACCAATATTATCAGTACATCACAAAAACATAACAAGAGCAGATKTTCACAAACATGGACATTACTGACACAGCCTCTTTGTGAACTGGTTGATATCGCGGATCTGTCATTCAGTTAATTTCYCWGTGAAAATAACCCAAAACTACTACAAAGCTTCTTCTATTTCCTTACCTGGATAGTCTGCACATCGCCTGCGTAAAGGACAATGACAACCTCCTTCAGGTGTTTAGGTTTTTTCATGCTAAACGCTGAGATTTCAGTCAACATCAAAGAGGCGACTAGGTCTCTTGGGAAACCAAGGTTTCCAGTGCCGACAGCAGGTAAAGCAATGGAGGTCAGGCCAGTGTCCTCTGCCTTGTCCAAGCAATTCTTGAAAATGGCACTCAAGAGCTGTAAGGAAAAGCATTGATGAAGTACCGTATACTGAAAGTTTACAAGGCTGCTGCATACACTTACATGCAATTTAAATATAATTAGAAGTATAATAGAGTATAATCCTAAAAGGAATGTATGCAGTTAATTTATCTGGATGATGTAAAACATCACATTCAGCAAAACAAAAGCAGGAAAAGTGGTATATCTGAGGCATGTTTCATATGATACAGTATTAAACACAGACTACGCATTTTAGAGCATGTTACCTTTTCAGTTGCGCCTTGTCCCTTGGTCCATGAAGGTGCAATTGCATGAAAGACTTTCTTGCTCTTCAGTTGGCAGCCGTCTGTCACAATGATCTCGCCAATATTTCCTTTGGCCTTCTGTGCATTTATCAACTGCTGAAGTTTGGGTCCAGCTGCGCACAGTATTGCATTTGAAACTGCCCCGTTGTTCAGTGAAAGATCCATTGACACAGTGTTCACAATCACCTCCGTCTAAGAAAAACAAAATGTTATTAGTTCTTCATTAACATCATCCTTATTAGACAAAAAGTCTGAGAGTACGTCTGAGCAATTGGTCAGTATTTAAAGGTAGGGTTGGTAAGTTGCTTGTTGAAATCCTCTTCACATCCTGATAGCCATTTGAAAATCAAAAAAGCATGTCCCAAGTTTCTGTGGTTCTTGAGGGACTGTAATAAACACAACCAATAATTTCAATCGGACGGGATCACTGATAATGAAATGAAATGACACCACAGGCTGGTGTACCGGTCTGTCACTAACCAGCTGCCAGCATGCACCCTGCCCATGCTCTCGGTGCACATAACTAGAGTCTTCAGCCAGAGAGACCCACACGGCTGAAGCAGAGAAGATAGCCAGAACCAGCTTCTAGTTGTCAGTGAGTGCACGTTGATATGTTTTTGGGGCGTTGGTTTGATGAGAAGGCCAATAAGAGGGGGTGGGATGTATTGGTTGCATATTTTCATAGTGTAGTCTGCTCTTGTTAGCTTTTTCATGCTTACCAACCCTAGCTTTAATTCTACTCTAGTATTTTGTCGTCACTCTGTCAGCATTTTTAACTAGAAAAATTTAAAATTCTAATTACCGTGGCATTCTCGATGTTTCCTTTAGTGAGAGTGATATTCAAGCCTTCTGTGGTTCTCACTTGACCCAAGCAGTTTGGGTCAGATGAGGTAGATTTAGCATATGTCAGACTTGGAGATGTTGTTTGAAGACTGACACCACCATTTCCAAATTCGTTTTTGACAGCTTTCTCCATAGCCTGAACAGCAGCGTCTTCATTGTTCACCAAATGGATCTTCTTCAAGGTGTTGTCATTATATTTCTCATCACAGTGTTCCTTCACTGCTTTGACGATGGTCAGCGAACACACATCAAGAGGAAAGCCTTTGGTTCTACTGATGGTCGGCAGTGCCACAGTGATGCAGCCATGCTTTTCAGCAAGTTCCAGGCTTCCTTTAACAGCTCTTTTCAACTGTGCCAGAGACTTCTGGGGTGCAGATGGATCAAACACAGGTCCAARTGCATGGATAATCTTTTTGCAACAAAGCTGTCCTCCAGCATTACTAATGACACAGTCTCCAGGCTTGAGCTGTCCTCTCAGGTTAATTATTTTGTCGCATTCAACCTGCAACTGAGGACCAGCAGCATTCAATAGTGCTGCYCCTAGACCCCTGTTGTGTTGCAGCTGCTGATTARCAGAASTGACAACTGCGTGCACTGGGTAACTGCACATATCTGCCTTACAAACAGCTATTTCCACACCATCAGATGTCTGAAGCTGATAAACAGGGTTTGGTCCACGGCTKTTGGCAAAATCATCCTGCCCACCACTGGTCTCATCAACTAGTTGGACCAAGCWGCCAGTGTCAGWCAACAGTGAGGTGACATACATAGTTTCTTTATCCCTAAAGAACTTCTTCACCCCAGGTTTGGTGATGTTTACACTTTCAAAGAGCAAAGACTGGACCAGGTTTTCAACTGARGTCTTGCAATGTGTGACATCAACTCTGGAACCATTGAGACAGATGGAATCGTTTCTGAAAGACACTGTCACTTTGTCTTTGACTTGCTCCAAACAAGATGTTTTGCATTTTTGAATG